TCTTGTCCTGAATCAGGCTCCACAGAATTTACAAAGGACCCTCGGGGGTATGACAGGAAATTCCCACTGAGACAGTTAAAGCCTTCAAGACTTTTTATTAAGACAAATGAAACAGTAATTAAATGGTAAAATAATCCGAGTAACAAAGTTACGATTGTATTACTGCTATTTACAAGATACAGGTGGTGTTCTATGCTTCAAAGCTTTGATTAACATAGTCAGACACCCTTCCTTGATAACCTGGTGGTGAGAGACGCAGGCCCAGCCTCGCCTCTGGCGGTTCAGGTTCCTTAATTCTTGAGTGACAGTGCAGAGCTTAGAAGCTGGAGCTAAGAGCTATTGAAGCTAACTTCGAGTTTACTTAACTAACCTCAACTTAAAATCTAAGAAACAAGACTAAGACCGAAAGTTTAGGGAACCCAACTTAGCCAGTCCCTTTGGAACTTAGAAAGTTTAAGAAGAACAAGTACAGCGTCCCTAGCAAGGTGGGTCGCCTCGTTTATAGGGCACAGGTGCCTGAACCTTCCTGGGTCTTTTGGTTCTTTCTTTGGGGGTGCACCTGTTAAGTTTGAGGGGACAGACTTGGAACCTCCCTATGCCATTCTGCCATTATCTAGCTAGGTAGGTGAAAGGTCTGTGACATGGGTGTGTGTGTTGACTTTGCTATCTCGGTGAAAGATCCCAGACATAAATATACGAACTCTGCCTTAGCTCAGCATACAGGATCTGGCCTGTAGGTCCCTCGCGTTACAGCCAAATCTGTAAACCTGTTACAATAAACCAAATACTTCAACTATAAGCAAAGAGAGCTATAGATATGCAGGCAAGCAGGTTAATCCTCCAGGCTACCCCATCGGACAGTCTTTGCAGTGCCAGGAATCCCCAATCAAGGAGCCAGGCCGAGCCGATGCGCTAGATGCTGTAGAGACACGAAACCAAGAACCCAGGCCTGGTTGCAGCGAGTTGAAATCAGCGATGCCTCCAGAAGTCAGCTGTGAGGTGCTGGCCTGGTTCCCGAGCCCACGAAGAACTCCCTGCAATGCCCAGGGTCTTCCCAGCTCTTCTGCCACGGCACCATTGTATGAATGCCAACAAAACTCGCCAAGGAACACAAACCTCACAATGAAAGCAGGCTGCGAGGACCCAGCTGCCTTTCGCTCCATGCCTGGGCTAGTCACGGGAACTATCCTTCTCCTACCTGCAGCCACCTTCCACCTGGCCCCTCGCAGCCCTTCACAGAAAACCCAGTCTCTGCTTCTCAGCTGCACCTGATCATCTAACAAGGCTGGCCGGCCACGGGCTCTCCCAGGACAGACCCGGTTTGAGCTGATTTTGTCCACATGGGAGCTGGCCCCGACTGAACTCAGACCGATTTTACAAAGGATTGTGGTGAGACTGATGCAATGTAGACGAATGCGCCCCAGCCTCAAGGTGTCGGGTAAGTTCATGTCTGTGCTTGTGAGGGTGAGTATGCACCCTCTGTGTGTGTGTGTGTGTACACGTCTGGGGATGTGTCTGTGTGTATGTGCATGTATGGCTGAGTGTGTGCGCATGGGTGTGTACATGTGTATGTTTGTGTATGGCCAATGCCGGGTTTACAATGGCGCTAGTGGCCAGAATGGGCCCTGTCCTGTCCTGCATGATCAGAATGGGCCCTGTCCTGCTCCGCTTGCACTGCGCCCCGAGACCCCACTGGCTCCCCCCCGCCCACCACTTGCTCCTCTCGGCCTGCCTGACGGCCGGGCAAGGGCTCCTCTCCACCTCCTGGCCCCACCCTCTGGCTCCTGCCTCCTCGCCCGACCCCAGCGCCCCTCTCGCTACAGGGCCCAGCCCCAGCTGCACTGCCAGGTCCGCCCGGCAGACACAGTCACTCCCCAGAGGGACGGTGAGTGTGACCGGGCGGCAGGCCGTGGGGGAGTGGGTTTCTGGAGGACCTGGGAGGGGAGGGGTGCGTTGTGAGGGGGCGGGGAAGATCTCTGTGTGTGTTGGGGCACTAGGGAGTGGGGGTTCTGTGTGGGGTGCTGGGCAGTTGTGGTGGGGCTGTGGGCGGGGGGGCGCTGGTGGTGTGCAGGGCGCTGTGCATTTTTGGCAGGATCTGGCAGGGGCGCTGGGCACAGTGCGTCTGGGGGGCTCTGGCCATAGGGAATCGGGGGTGGGAGGTGTTCAGGTGTTGGGCACGGAGGACGCGTGGCGCGGCATGGGGCATGCTGGCAGCACAGGGCGTCTGGCACCTGCCGGTTTGTAAATAATGCCCTCGTACGGGGCTGGGCAGAGCGCGGCCGCCCCTGCCATGTGTCACGGACGCACAGATCGTGCCCACTCTTGGCCCCGTGCGGTCCGTGGGGGGTGCCCCTTTCAGTGAGACAGCCCTTCTCGGGGGTGCACTCTCTCTCGGGGTCAGGCCCCTCCACCTCCTGGAGCCGCACCTCTCGGAGCCTCAGCACGTCTGTCTCTGCCATGGGCCCCCTCAGGGAGTCCACTCGCTCTGGACCCCCCGGGCCTCCACCCCCGAAGGGGTTGATGCCACCCTGTTCTCTAGCCCGGAGCGACTCTCAGCCAGCATGAAACAGGAGGGTTTATTGAGAGTTGAACCCAGCACAGGAAACTCTCAGGGCCTCAGGCCTGGCCTCCCTCAGCCCAGCACATCCCAGTCTCTCTGCATCCAGGTGGGCTCTGCCTGCTCCCCCTCTCCAGCCCAGAGCCCCCCTGCTTCCCAGCTGGGCATCCGAGATCCCCGGCCCCAGGCCCTGCCTCTGTCCATTGTCTTCTCTCCAGGTAAACAGGGTCGTAAACCGGGGCCTCCTCTCCTCGCTTCTGTCCTCTGGCTGGAACCGGCTGGTTAGGTCACTGGGTCCTCACTCTGCAGCCCATTTTTCTCCCATCTGGCCAGAACCGGCTGCAACTCCTGAGCTGGGTCTCCGGGTCCGGTTGCTGGGGTATCCATCCTCCAGGCCATCGGCTGTGGTCCCAAGTTCCCTCTCCGGTCCTCTGCAACAACAAACTCCCTCTCCCCTCCCCTCGTTAAACCAGTAACACCCAGGGAAACTGAGTCCCACCCCCTCCGCATGCAAACCATTGAAACCCCACCGAAAACAAGAAAAAACAAGAAAATCGCCCACTTCGTCACACCATGCCATTGCCCCTGGCCAGCCCCTCACTCCGGGGACCGACCCCCCCCCCGCCATGCTCCATTGTCCCTATAGGGACCCCAAAATATGTTTGGCACTGGGCCCACAAAAGGTTAATCCGGCCCTGTGTATGGCTACATGTGTGCATGGATGTATATGTGCATATATGTGTCTGTACATGTATAGCTACACGTGTGCTTGGGTGCATACATGTGTCTGCGTGTACATGGATGGCTATTTGTGGGCGTGGGTGCACCTATGTGTCTGTGTGCATGTACACGTGTGGGTCTGCGTGTCTTTGTGCACATGTGTGTGTCTGCGTGTGACGGGTCACAAGGCATACCCAGAAGGGGGGAGGGGGAGGTTCTCTGGTCATTTAAGCCTTGATGCAGCGTCTCCAACCCCCCTGGAGCCCAACACCCTCCCCCGAGTGCTCCCTCTTCATTCCAGTCCAGCAGAATGGTCGGTTTCCCGTCAGCGGTGGGAGCGCTGACTGGGACCCAGCCAGCCTGGGCATCGCGCAGCAACAAACACAGGCCAGGCTGCCAATACCACGCTCTGATGGCCCGACGAATTAACTCCCTAACCGCCCGCACCGGCGGGTCCGGCCTGCCTGACCACGGGCAGACCTGGGGGTGAACCGGGGGCTTCAGCTGAGCGATCATTCCAGCCATCGGGGCACGTTCCCAGGGGCTCACGGGCCTGCCCCGTGGGAGCGGCAGTGAGAACCAGACCTGGTGGATGCGTGATCCAAGTGCTGCTGGGGGACGGGACCGGGCAGGCGGGTGGGGAGGGAGCAGATTGGTTTGAGGCAGTGGTTTGATTTCTCAAAGAAGCCCAGGGAGAGGTGGGGGGGGCCGCCCCTAGCTGTTGGACTGGACCGGAGCCAAGAGATCAGATCGGATTGCAACTGCTCGCCAGCATTCCTGCGGGCTGCGCCCCTTGGCACCCTGCCACCTCCTTGGCTGCTGCGAGAAAATGAACAAAACTTTCCTCAGGGCGTTCCCTTGCTTGAACTGGAGCGTGTGTCTGGGAAACAGGGCCGGGGGGGGGGGGAGGTTGTCCATGGTTCAGGATTCAGGAGCAGCTGCAGTGCGAGGGGAGGGGAGGTGGCAGGACAAGGACAGTGATCGGGTGCTCTGTGGTGATAGAGGGGAGGACGAGAGAGACGGGGAACGTCTGGGGATCGGGATTAAAGGGGCACCAACGGCTCAGGACCAAATAGCAGGAGGGGGTTGGGGGGTAGTGCCGGGCATCACCAGAGTGGTGGGGTGAGGCAGGAGCCCAGGGCTGGGGTAGCAGAGGCTGCGGGTCAGGAGTGAGGGGCACCGGCAGGGCTGGGGGAGCCCAGGGCTGGGCTAGCAGGGGCTGCGGGTCGGGAGTGAGGGGCACCGGCAGAGCTGGGGGTGGGAGCCCAGGGCTGGGCTAGCAGGGGCTGCGTGTCAGGAGTGAGGGGCACCGGCAGGGCTGGGGGTGGATCCCGAGGGCTGGGCTA